TGGATATATTTTTGTGGAGTAACCATTAAAAGAGACTTTAGCACTTTATGGATTGTGTAAGTTAGACATGCCCAGAGTGAGCCAGGAACCTTGCCTGCATCCATACTTCCTTCGGAAGTGTCCCAATTAGAGAACAATTAGAGCAAGACAGCCAAAATTAACTCTGGCATTTGTATTATGAGTAATCATGTAGCTTTCTAATTAAGATACCAGTGAAACTTCTCAGAGAAACTTAGCAAGGAATAAATATTTGAGTAGTTCAGATATGAGCCTGTGTCAACCAAAGAGTCTCCAAACTGCACAGAAATGTCACAAGCTCCTGACTATTGAAATCAGAAATTCCTGACCCCAGGACAGTCCATTTTCTCTTGAAATGAAAAGTAGCAAATAAGCATCATATATCTCACATGACAAGTCAAATAGAATACAGATTCTCCTGTGACTCTTAAGAATTCAGACCATAACAAGCCTAGGAAATGTAATTTCAGAGTACTGGCCTTATATCAATGGGGTCAAGTGCCCACTCCCTTGTGACTATATATACTAGAATGAAAATGCTAAAGCACACTTCATTAGTTTATACCCTGTACCTCCTCCTGCTGCCTCACAGTGCTCATTCTTAAACTATGCACTTGTATGAAAAAATATTATTAAAAAATGTATTTGAGATTTAATTTCTCCTTGTTGAACAGAAGGCTAATGGGACTTTTTAGAATCTGAGATGTGATTATGCAGCCAAAAAATTAAAATGGCAGCTGCTTCCAAAGGAGATTGCTGCTGAGAAATGGAGAATTGCCAGCTAAGGTATGTGAAAGATAGGTGGCCTTTTTAGTTCTCACAGTTTAGGAAGGAGTTACAGGGCCATGCTCTTAAGAACCCCTCAAACCATAGAAAACAAAAAATTAGCCAGCCTGCAAGTTATGCCATGCCTGTAAGAATAAGAGTTCAAATGTGTAGGGTCCAAACTGCTGTTTGCATTATGGGACATAAGGCAAATCATTCTGAATTTAGTACTTTGCCTATTTCTTTGCTTTTTCTGTCCAGTACTCATTCCTTCACTTTTACTAAAATGCAGCAAATAAGATCTTGCTCAAGTTTCCCAGAAAAAAATAAATTCTCTTCAATTCCCCTCAAATTTGCTGTGAAAAATATGAACCAAAAGACTAAATCATAGTTGTTAGAGCTTGAAATAAAATTACTTATTGGGTTTATTAAGATTACACAGTAATAGATTACAAAGAAGAGCTACTGTGGAAAACTCTTTATGCCACTAATTATACCAAAAACTTCAAGGAGTTTCAAGTAACTGCAGTAATAATTTCACTGAAGCTGATTTTAAGCATGGTGTATGGAAGCCAATTTAAATAGTATAAGTCCAGAGTGAGCACATGAATTCTACCTCAAGCAAAGTCTTGGGAGAAAGATGGAGACTGACAGGACTGTGATCCATATTTAGAATAGAGCAGCGCCACATTCAGTGTGGTTAGGGTTGTAGGAACCAAAATGGTTCAGTTGTACACACACAGCACCTGTAGGCTTCAGAGGAGTGATCAGCCTGTAGTGGAATAAAGACACAGAAACCTGCAAGTGAGTTCTTTTAGGTTTGTATACTGTGAGGGCTGCAAAAGATGTGATGATGTACATACTTTAAACCAATGCATGTATTAATAAAACTGCCCTGTAGAGCAACATAACAATTCTCCTCTTCAGTGTTAAGCAAAAAAACCAGCATACAGTATCCTAGAAAGAGAGTTTCACAAGTAAGGACTTCCTTTCCTTCGTGCATCATTCTGTGTTCTGTCTTTTTCTTGTTCCTATTCTTCTCACTTACTCAAGATAACTCCCCAGTTAGTTCACAGGAAAGTCTATTGAAATAAATAAACAAGTTTTAACTTAGTCACAGGAGTATTGTCAAGAGTAATTAAGAGTAGCTAACGAAGTATAGTTCTCTGAAGATGCAATGCTTTAATGCATTTAATAAATGTTACTTTATCATTGCTTTATTATGAACACTTCAGCATACTGTGTTAAAACAATATTTTGTATGCAGAACCCAGGACAACATAAGGAATTTCAAGGTGATAAATATCAGGAAAATACTTTGCAGTTGCCTAAGGTACAAGCAGGCTGGGGCTCAGACTGCACTGTGACCTTTTTCAGTACAATATTTGGGAGACAGTAGAACTTGGTGCCACACTGGAGCCACACAGCCTGCTCCTTGTTCTGGGAGTGTAGGGCAGACACATCAGTGCTTCTTAACAGACCCAAATCAGAACTGATCAGCAGGGGCTGAATCACAGGCGTGATGAAGAGGGTCTGGCTTTGTGCCCAGTCATAGGAATGGGATTCATGGAGTGCTGGGCTGGCTCTCCACATACCCACAAGAGCCTGACAGGTTATTTCAGCTCCTCACTGCCTGAAAGCAGCTGTGCTGCCTCTGGGCCTGACCCTACAAGTGTTCATTTAGAACACAAAGCATGCGCTTGGGAACTCCAGTGTGCCTTGTCCACACTGCATTGTCAGCTCAAATGTCTCACTTTCTCTGGAACATACTTACCATGGCTAACAGAATTAATTATTAGATTGTAATTATTCAGTCATTCTTTCACCCAAAGTACAAAAGCAGATGAAAATTCTTCTTGTCTATATGTCTGCTTTCTTATTCCTTTATCCTTCCCTGCCAGTTTTGCTGTATTTCATAATTTTTGATCAAAGGCTAAAAAAAAGTGTGGTTTTGCTTACCTGCAGAGCCAGATGAGCATATTTTAACTGTTCAGGCCAAGTTTTATCTTCACAACTTAGTGTCAGTTCTCTCTGCTAGATACAGATAGATACACCTTCAAACCTAAATCTAATTTCAACACTATGGGAAATTTACTCTTCCTGGTCTGTTCCACATTTCTCCTAGCAATCAATTCCAGAAGTCAAATGTATCTATTTTTTTTCTCAATTTTTTTTGTATTGATGCATAGACATTTAAAAAACAAAGTTCTGATGCAATGTCAACACTCTGATGCAATGCTGAGATTCTTCTATTTATTTCTGTATGTGTATTATTCATGAGATATGGGGCATAAAATCATTTGACTGCACTCTCTCAGAACTCCTTTGTGATAATTCACAAAACAACCTCTCAGTAGTAGACACTTTTATTTATGTGACTACCACACCTCCCCTTATAATTTGAGGTTTTCAAGGGCAAAAGGAATATGTTACTTCGATTCCAGGCAAATAAAATTTCTGTCATGTGGGTGAAAGGTGTTTTCAACAGCCTTCCTTCTCTAGCTCCCAATGTCTCAGCTGTCACACTGATTCCTTGTTTGCAAAATTGAGAGCTGTAAAACATTATACATATCACAAAATAAGCACTCCTAAAAAGCTCTGTGAATTAGTCCTATATAATTAAGACATGTAATTTAATTAGACTTTATATGAAATAATGACTTGTGATCTGCAGTGACTAAAGAAACAAGTCGTTTAATTATTTTCTGTAAATTCTTTCAGTAAAAAAGATACACTACTATGAGTGCAATTCAGATCAAATTCAAAAATTATTCTGGTGCAAGTGATTATTTCAGAAATACATGCAAAGAAAGTCCAGGATGTTTAATAAGTCTGAGATTTCCTTTTTGCTTGTGTGTTCCTTACTACTCTAAGAACAGGACTGTAGTTGGCATCCCAGAAGCGCTATAATGAAAGCATTCAGAGCTTTATATTTACTTCTACAATGCAATACAGTCTGCTGTAGGTAAAGATCATGCATGACACACTTTTGCACTTGACAAGTCATTTATGTAGTAATTAATTGTGCAGCTTCATATACATTCAATGCAGCTATTCTATTCATCACAATACAGTAAACAAGTTAATTCTTTCTGCCACATTTGGTTCACAGGATTCCAGATTTAATTTTTCTAAGAGCCTGCTGGGGGCACCAACACATGCCCATAAAAATCAAATTATGATATTTGGCAAATGAAAAAAGAAAGACAAATTTAATAATTTATTTATATGTTATAAATTACACGGTACACCTCAGGTTATATGTAATGCTTATAGTCTTCTTTTCACAGCTTGGAAAATACGCCTACAATGAATTTGCTTGCAGGCTTATACTTGCAAATAACTCACACCAAGAATGGCCTGAATAAAGCACAGGCATCTCTAGTAATGCATTCTGACTGAGAAAAAAAAGGGTGAACCAATTAGCAAGTGGGAAAAGAAGCTGCCTTGACTGTGGGCTGCCTCCTGGTTGGTACAGACAGGTGGCATTTGTTGGTTTAAAACCAGAGTGTTGAGTTGTGTAACAGGAAACCCAGCTACAGCAGCCACATAGTTGAATAGCAGTTGTGAGGTGCTACTTCATGCACGTAAAAACAACAGGAGAAGACTTGTATGGATTAAAAATGTGTTAATGACACCACAGTAGCATAAACCAAATAATTCCCTAGTTTGAAGCAGGGGGGCTTTTTTCACATATAAGTTATATTGGTTCTAGAGAAAGGCTACACAAATATGAAAGCTTTAAGCAGAGACTGGACAACATATAGCAAAGTTTTTACAGAAATTCTGTTTTCTTTGGTGTTCTCTTGTTTTCCTGATGAAAGAAAGACTCCACATTTCAGATGCTCCCTTGCCCCCTGAGAGTTGCAATGTTCAGCTGCCTAATAGCAGCACATTATCTTGAAGTGCCTATTTTTCTAATGCTTCATACATAGTGGAAGGATGGAAAGAATAGATAAACAAAAGCAAAGAATAAAGCAAATAGGAGGCCAGCATAAAAAGAGGGTAAGAGTTGAGCAGCAGACTGGAAAGAGATTGCTGCTGAGGAGTGCATTGACTTTAAATTTTTACAGGATCTCAATTTCTTGAGATCTATGGAGAAGAATCTTGCTATGGAGAAGAATCTTACTGAGAAAATTTGATGCAGATAAAGAAATGAAATTAAGTTATCACCAGGAAAGTAACAGGAGAGAAAGACCTCTTAGGCACTAAAGAGAAGAAGCTGGGCTTCTTGCAGCAGCCAAGAAATGCAGCACGGAAGTACCTCCTCATTGATGTGATGGCTCTTCAATTACCTCCTACTTGGAAGTGTTCCTGAAAAGAGAAAGAAAAGTGACAATTGCCAAAAGTTTTTATTATCCTCACATAGCCACAACTTGCTTCTGAGAAGGCAGGGTATCATTGTTGCATTTCATTATTCAAAAAGTGCCTATTAACATTTTTGACATTTTGATTTTTGTGCTCTTGTTCTACTTCTAGTCAATGTAACCTGTTACATTATTCAATCACTTTTATAGTTAGGGGTTTTTTTTCCAAGTTCAAGTGGAATTCCCTGCACTTCAATTTGTGCCTGTTGTCTCTTTTCTGTGTCTGGATATGCCTGAGAGGAGTCTGGCTTTATATTTAGCTCTGGCCTCTAAGTCCATCCTGTTGGGTTTTACTAGATTTTAGACTTCACACTTTTAATGTTGTTCAGATACACATCATATATGACAAAAATACTGGCCAGCTTTCCCTACTGCATATGAATATTTCCTCTAGCAGCCTAGTGGGTGCCTCAGAGGGCTGGGATGGAAGAGGATCTCTGGGGACAGTTCACTCCAGGACTCTCTGTGATCATTTTGCTTTCCTGCAGGATGGGGATGGGCTAGTTCTCAGTGCAGCCCAGCAATATTGCCCTCAGAAGACCTTCCTGGCATGCTTACAGCCCTCACTGGATATTCAGAATATCCATCAGCCTTCAGGCTGTCACAATCCCAAGGGATGATTATATGATACAGCCCCATCATGAGGACTAAAATTGATCAACCTATGAGCCATGTACTCATCAAAAAATGAGTAGATATTTTTTAGAACTACCTGCACCCATTCTTCTCCTTTTCCTCCTTGGCAGACCTCTGGAAAGAGGAGTTCATAGTAGTACCTATGTTTGCTCTCCTTAGTAGTTTTGTCCCTCAAAATAGCTACACTTGTAAGCACACCTTTACCAAAAGGTTTTTAAACAATGCATTTTAAAGGTTTGAAGCGTTTTGCTATGTTTATGCCTTTTAAAAAACAACCTAGTAAGTTTCCTGGGGTGAAATCAATGTGGATCTGAGATAAAGATACTACAGGTCTTTCTGAATGATTCCAGGAAAACTCAAAAAAAGCAAAGCACTAATTCACTTATATTGTCGATCTTTTTCAGGTTTACTTATATAGAACATTTTAGGTTTTGGGGTTTTGAGTGATGTAGACTGTATAAGCACACATTGTCTGTGACTAACCAATCTCATTTCACTTTGGCAGAGGGACTGATTTTTTCTAGGCTTTCTTCTCGGTGGAATAGATGATGTTACAGAATACTTCTATTGAGAGGACAGTACACAAATCCCCCAAAAATGCTTCAGTTAATATTTGCTACCAGATAAACCACAGAAATATGCAAATTGTACAAATTTACAAAATGTTAAGGCATTTTTTGTTTTGCCTTCACTAAGCCAAGAAAGATTGTGTCATCTTATTATAAACTTGTAAAACATTTAGATATTTGAAACTCACATAGTTCTGGGAAAGAAAACTATGAGGATAGCATGCCACTGTCCAATTACAGCAATATATGTATTGAAATAAAAATATTTAAACAGATGTTATAAAAGACTCCATTTCCATTGTACAGCATAGGCACATCTGCTGTACTTTAAATACTTCTTATCCATGCCAAAGAAATACTATGAAGAGAAAATGTCTTTTTTGTCCTTTTCCTTTGAGTTTACTCTATGTGAATACGGGAAGAGTCTTTTCAATAGGAAAAAAGGCACTGATTGTAATCGCAACATTTTGTGTTTGCCCTACAGCTGCCATTTGTGACTACTATGGAAATCAAGTCCTGGCTCTTGTTTTCTGGCCCCTTTTAAAAACCTTGAATATTTCTAAAATAGTATTGGGCAGGAAGGAAAGGAGGGACAGCATTGTGCAAGACCAAACTAATATAAAAATGCTGCTGTGCTACACTCACTTCCTTCCAAATAATTTTCAGGCATTAGCTGATTGGTATTGTTCTTTAAAAAGGAAATATGTGGTGTCACAGTATTATCCTCAGTGGTGAAGTGCACCTATGCTGATGTTTATGATACACATTTGTTTTCAGGACGTGCTTTAGTTTTAGTATTAAGGCCTTGAGCACATAAACTCCAGACTTAGCAGTGGAGTGGTGGCTTTAGAGTAGTAACTTTGATTACTTAAAAGGTAAGGCTCTTACATTTTCTCACTGGTGAGTCTGGAAGACTTAATACAGCTATATTTAGCAACAATATTTAGTAAGAAGCATCCACTAACTACTACTAAGTATGTGCTTTAGCAATGCAATAGTCTCAGAATTTCAGAGCACTGCAACAGGCAGTCTTTCTTCCTTGAGCTGCTTCTGTTACAAACCCATTGCATATTCCCAGATGACAAAGGTGCCCATGTAAGTTTATCCATAAGATATTATTTAAAGCTAACAGATGGATGGGGCACTGGAAGGAGAAAACCTTGAAAGCTTCTGTTTTTTACAAATTCTTCTGGGAAGCAAGCATGCAGCAGCAGTCTGACAGGGGATCCATAACAAGCTAGCAGCTCTGCTTCCATATGGTTCAAAGAGCCCAAGAAAAACCCTAAGGGATACAGAAGTTTTGCCATTAACTCCAGTGAGACTGAAGTAGGAGTGGAATACAGATGTTACACCCATAAAGGTTATGCAGAATTGGCCCTGCAGATCCGGTCAACCATAAATTTGGGTGATAGAGACAACATTGCTAATCACTATCCTGCATGGGGTTTTGGAGAAAGAGAATAAAATCTTCAATCTGTCACCTTAAAGGCTTCTGGGTACAATATATACAAACATTTGCTTTGTAGGCACAAAACTTGCCAGAATTTTGTTACTGTTTACAAGCATTCCAAGAGTATTAATGTGCTTGGTATAAATGACACTGTTGCGTGATGCTTTTGCACTTGCGACTGCTAGGACATGAAATCAGAGGAACTAATACTATGCTCTAATATACTTTACATGTTCAATTATTTCAAAAGCACACTTTATGAAAGTTATGCTCATTTTCTGGCAGAAGAATATTTATGCCATAGCAGGCACCTCAAATATAAGACACTATACACAAGGAATTTAAAAGTAATGGATTTGTACTTCACTTGTCAGCATTTGCAGTGCAAGAAGCTTATGAGATTTCTATCTCTTCTGATAATACTTTCCTTCTGCTTCCTTTAAATTGTTACTGTGCCTTAATTTAGACTACTGCCTTATGACCTTGGCATTTTTGTTTTCCCAATTCTAGTTTTAACCAAAATCACTGATCTCCTCATGGTGCAAAAAGTAGGTTTTGTATGTAATCTTAACAACAGCTTTCTAGATTTCTCGTAAATTAAATAAAAAAGGAGCTGGATGTGAATTAATTTGGATGTGTGACCAGGTGACCATATCAGCAACGTGACCCTTTGTAGAAAGATCATTATTATTATTATTTATGTTTTTGCTGTTTAATATTCCACTGCAAGAAAAAGAGCTGTTCTCTGTTTCTATCAGTGCAAAGTGAATACCTGCTACCTTCTCCAACATTGCCATGAAAATAATTTGCAAAGTGAATTCCATTCCTCAGTGTGCATTATCCATGTTTTAATTCTTCTCTCTATGATCATAATTAAATTTAACTTTACAGACACTAGACAGAATAATGAATACTTATAAGTGAACTGCACAGGTATGTATCAAACTAGAAATGAAAAGAGCATCTGACTGAGAAATGTGTTAAAAATTCCAGAAATCCTCTTCAAAACAAGTATCTAAAAAGAATTTTATTCATTTTTAAAACTGGGCTTGTTCAATTCCTGCTAAACAGAAAATCTTCTTAGACTGGTGAAGTTAGATAAATCTAAATCAGACTTTGTTTGAAAGCAGATCCAGCTATCAGCTCACAGGCTGCTGGACAAGAGCCTGTGGGAGGTAGCTGGCCTTTGGCTGTCACCCAAAATGTTCCGACTAAATTGTCATAAAAAATAAAATTATAAAAAAAAAAGCCAACCTTCTTTCCTGCCTTCAAAAGCAGGGTTTAAAGTCTTTCAGTAAAAGATTTAACTTTTGCAAGTAATATGGAAACCACAAAAAAAAATCTGGAAACATAGCTGGAGGAAATAAATCTGAGAAAATAAATGCCTGTGGCAATGTATGGGGCAATGGAAGTATATTCCTAGATTATTCTAAGCCAAATGCTCTTACTTTACTTATCATTCCAGATGTTTTCAAAGAGGATATACAAATTATTTTTAAACACAAGCAAAGAGTAATTAACACTTCACGTTCTTTTCTGAAGGTATTTACATATGTGCAGCATTAGATAATTTGAGAATTCCTTCAATTTCAGTAGTATAGAGATGGTCAAATGTATATATTCTGAAGTCTTTAAGTGGTATGGGGTGTTATTCTTATTTTTTCTTAATTTCCTTTCAAGTTTTTATTGTTGTATCCCTATAAAAGTAATGGCTTAAAAAGTGACGAGAAGTCTCTGACATTATTGTCCACTTTTTTAGGTCCAAATGTGAAAGGTACTAAAGACAGTAAATCTACTTATCAGTGATTTGTAAGCATTGTAGGAATTGAAGTTATTTCATTTAATAAATAAATCATCTCTCACTGTAGAAAAGGACGGTCTCTAACTATAGCCAAAGGCACCCATCCTCTGAAGAGGGTATACAATGATTAGAGTTTCCATGGTGTTAGATTAAAAGAAGTCAACAAGATGCACAAACTTGACAACTATCAGACTAAGAAATGACAAAATAATTGTACCAATCCTAAACTGCAGAATCATAATTAATGGTTAGTAGTATTTCCTATGCAACTTACTTTTCTTTTTTAAACCAGTTTTTCAGATGTAAAAGAAGCATTATATTGATATTTTGGGGGGAAATGTCAGTGGGATTTCAGGCATACTCCAGTGTGGATATAAACACATGGCTTTAGGAGTACTGACACTTACTTGAATGAATTGGTTTGTTTAAGGAGGAATCAGTGGTATTTTTCATTGATGTTTTTTAACATAACTCTCATAAGGATTTCTTGCAACAAATACCAGCATATGGACCATAACAAATTTTGCTGTGAAAGATTCTATCAGGCAGTGATTAATATGCTCAATATACTGTAAGGTATACTACCTGTTCATTCTTCTCTAGTTTTGTGAAATTCTGTACTTGCAGTTTCTGAGCTTTCCCTGGATAAAGTCCTGCGTTAAAAAAAATATAAAAAATGAAAAATATTGAATTTATCATGACTAAATGGAGCACAATTTAACCACAGAAAGCTCCATGAAAGATGATTCATGTTCCAAGAAAGTTAGAGAATGTTGGAATAATTTGTATATTTTTGTCTCAGACACAACTGTATATATTTATGTAGTTCTCACTGTTTCCGTTTGCAGATAAAAAATGTGATCATATGATCCTTTCAAGATAAGCTACCACTAATTTTAAACACTCTGATTAGTCTGTTTCTACTTTTCAAAATAGTATCTCACAGGATTTTACTGTACTAGATGCAGTTCCTTGAGTTGTGAAATGCTTCCTGGGAACTTTTCAAATTCCAAAGATATTTTAGTCCTAATATGCATGTGTGATATGTCATTACACCACTCATGTTTATACATTTTTGCCTGTATGTTGTAAATAGATCCATTCGCTCCTTTTACATTTTGTGTTCTTGCAGCTCTCTGAACTGTGGAGTTGCATCAGCTCACAATACAACCAAGTCTTTTTTTACTTTTTGATTCCTAACTGCATTTAAATCCAACACATCACTTAAGCTTCAACTCTGCATGTTGTCTTTAACTCTTAAGATTAACTTTTCCCAGAAAAGTGAAGAATTTTTTTCCAATTTTTTGCATGAAAATTTTGCAGCTTAAAATGAACACAACAGCAGTCATTGCCAGTCCTTACCTCCAAATATGTCCAGTAAGAAATGGAGGCGTTCTTACCATTTAAAGTTTCAGAGCAGATGGAGTTTGGCTATTCTGAGCCAGGGTCACAAGGTTGCATATTTCCCTCTGCTCAAGCCTTGTAACACTTGGTGAGCATTAGTCAGATACCAGGCTTCCGCATGTTGCCCTTAGCAGTGTGGCTGAAAGGAAAAGTAGCTTTTTTGGTAAACTGGGAGAGTGAGCAGAGATTTGAAATTGGCATAAAGTCAGCGTCAGTCTCCTGAGGCCATTCGTGCAGTCTGGCTTCTGCCAGCTAGTCTAGCAAATTGTTCATGTTTGCTTTTGAACTTTGTTCTACATATGTCAGGCTAGAATATTAACAGCTGAAGAAATGGACCAGCCAGTGAAAACTTTTTGTAAATTAGCTGAGCAAGACTGTGCTGTTCAATATTGACTTTGTAACTTGGCAATGCTATCCACTGCTCACATTTGAGGAGGTGTATTGGGCATCCACTTAACAGTGTATGAGTTTATAAGATTACATATGATCATAGCATATTTGTAGCTGTCAGGAGCAGAAACTAAAATATTTTCAGTGAACACCATTGCCAACTAAACAGAAACGGTAACTAGGCAATGCAGAAACACCACTTAGGTTGTTCAGGACTCGGAAGCACAATTTACCAAATGTCTCCCTCCCCCCAGCCCCCAACTGAAACGTCTGTATTTACTTGGAAGCTTTATTTTACTAATGTGCAACACGTTATATATAAAAATTTAAAAAGCCAATTTGAAACTGAATCATCGTCACCACAAATATCAGTGGAACGGTTTGATAATGCTGAATCCAGGCACAACCTTTCCAAAAACACTAAATAGTTCCACAAGATTATAAAGAGAAGATAAGGAATTAATTAAAGAAATGTTTATTCAATTACTTTTTTTTTTAAATGAAACTGGCTTTTTACTTAGAAGGACCCTATCACAGGCAATGGCAGTGTTATCATCTCAGTAATACAGACTTGGATACCTGTGCCTAACACCATAAACCATGACTTGAATCAGGTCAGAAAAACTTCCCGATATAGTAGCATGGGCACTGTGAAGTCCTGTGGTCATGGTCTGTTACTTTAAGGCAGAATGGTAGGCAAAATGTTTGTCCTGGTGTTTTTTCATCCCTGATGATCCTGTTCCTTCTCCCATTTCTCTGGGTTCCACTGGATGAAGGAACATAGCAGAGCTACTGTTCTGTGCTGAGCTAGAAATTTTGGTAGAATATTCAGTATTATACAGGACACAACTTTTCTCACAGACAGGATGGTATTTGTCCTGGTTTATATCAATGAACTGTAAAGGCATTTACCGAGAAGCTGAATTTTCTACACCTCTCAACTATGAAGAGATCTGGACAGTTGATAATACATGTTCCATGGGAATGCCATGCTAATTATCCCATGAGTCATTCCACATTGAGTTTATAAATTTTTACAACCTGCACCAATATTTCAGCCTCTGTCTTCAGACAACTAAGCAAAAGAAAGCAGTGAAAAATACTTTATAAGCTATTAATCACCAGTGGCTTAAGGAGTAGTGTTAAGCTCACAAATTCACTGAAAAAGATAAGGGCTGCACCTCAAATGTACTTCTAAGTTCAGAATTTTAAGCAGAAATTAAGTCACCAACTTTGTGAATTGCTACCTTGGAATATGTGAAATGTTCAAGTTAAAAAACTTCATAATGCCAATATGATGGGAATTCTGCAAGGTTGTACTTGTTGCATGCATTTCATCACAGCACTTTAAATCTAAAAATACCAGGAGATCCTTAAAACTACAAAAGAAGTGTATTTTGCTTTCCACAGATGTTACATCAAATTAGCTTTAATGTGGAAAAATACACATATTTGCTTATGAAAATGTACAGTTACTGCTTAATTGTTGAGGGACTCTGGTAGACATTTTTCATATTTTCCATTTTTTAAATGGAAATAGATGAGATTTTCAATTGAAAAAAAATATATCTGCCCACATGGCTATATTACACCATCTTATTAAAATATGCTGGGCACTTTGGAAGCAAAGACAATGTCTCTGCCTTCATCAGCTTAATATGTAACAAGGATACTGTATCTCTTTCCTCAGATTGTCAAGATACAGAATGATAGATACATTCAAATAATACTTAAGTAAATCCTTAATTTGCTGTTATAATTACTTCTTGGAGCAGTTGTGGAGTTTGGATTTCTATAACAATTTTTACCACAGTTTCAGATTAAAAAAAAACCAAAACAACAACTACTTTTAAAAAATATAAATTAAAAATATCTGGTTTAGCCATGTTTTGAAACAGACATTGAAAAGGCATCATCTTGATTTTCACTAAAAAAAAGGAAATTTTTTATTTTTGAAAAAAATCCGTTTTAGTCAACCATAATTATTTTAAAGAGTTCTTTAAGAGTCTGACCAACACAATGAGATACCTGAGCTATCTGGGGTCCTGTGAGCCATCTCACGGCTTTAGTGCTGACCTACATGGATTTTGATTAGTTTACTGAGATCCCCAGTTGTATCTAGCTATTCTGTTTTCTGTTGGAGAATGCATGTTTTTAGGCATAGTAATTAACCTTACACAGTAATTAACCTTACCCTTGTTCTGTAGTAATCATATTTGTAAGGGCTACACGCATTACACCCCATCACTGAGATTTCCCACTTACAGGGTTTCTTTTGTACCTGGGAGAGGACAACTCCTTTCTATGCTCTTTTTATTCTTGTCTTTGTACGTGTGTAGGACAGGTACTTAACATGAAGGCTTCTAAAGAGACAACTTCTACCCTTATGAGATAACATCCCCCTAAATGTTGTTATTATAGGTAAAAAGAGCTTCAACAAAAGCAAGCTAAATAGGCTGTTTCTTGGCTGAGCTTGTTAAGAGGCCTGCCAACAAGACAAGGAACTCTCTGAATTGTAAACAGCACAAATGAGAAATAAAAGAATTACAAGTCTAGTGTTCTCCTCAGCCTGTCGTCCTCCTCTTTGGTTGCAGTCCAGCAGCTTTTTGGAGGCTTCTTTTCAGGACAATAAAAGTTCTCTTTCTTCTACGTCAACCAAGAGCCACATTTAGGTTAGAAATAATCCCATGAGCCAAAATGTTCTTTGTGTGCCTGCAACCAGTACGTGTGTCATTCAACAAACTTGAGAAAAGTGGGTATCACTCTTACTCGGCTTGAAAGCAGAAAACACATGTTAGGCCTGGCAGGTTTCCTGATGCAGGCCAGAAAATAGATACATGATATCCCAAACCCTTTTGAAAGACAGTGAAGGAGAGGGAGGAAAATATTTTTCATATTTTGTGTATCAGACCAATCGATAATGAGTTTCAGAAGTTCCTACTTCTTTTCAAAAATCTTATTTTTGAAGTGAAATATCTTCTAGTTTAAGCCCTGAGCAGAATTATTGTTTCATTCTGGTGTTCTTACCATGTGAGATCTGAAAACACATTTACATCTTGTATTTACCTGGCAAGTAGCGACTGCAAAATTTCACATGATCTCAATCCCCATCATCTGGATTTGAGACCTGTTTGGACCGCTTAATGATACTTTTTGACTCTCAGGCTAAGGGATTTCTGTTCATGGAGAGTGGAGCTCAGGTGAGAAACACTGCTTGGTCTCCTCCTGCTGAGCTGCCTGAAGATGTAGTTACAATGCCACCTTGGGATCATGTCCAGTACCCAGTAATGACAGCTGTTTATTACCATGCAGATCTCAGAGAGTCCAAATCAGAATGGAGAAAGGCAGCTCTTTGTAGGACTTATCCTATGTTCTTGAAGAATCTTTTAAAATCAACAGCAAATAAAGTATGATTTTTGTTCTCAGAGGAAATGACAAAGTTTAAATGCCTTGATAGACTACATATATATATCAAGATATTTATACTTCTTTGCAAATATATGATTGAAGTCCCCCTTGAGTTACAGCACCAGAACAAAGCCCGCTACATTTATAACAGCCCACTCAAAGCTGAAGAGAGCTCATTTGATCCCAGTTAGCCATAAAGAATTTCTTTCTCTCATGTGTCATGAGTTTCTTTTATTCAGAGTATTCCCATTTCCCTGACCTATAGCCTGTTCCCTCATCCTACGTGTCAAAGACTGTTGCTGCAAGACTTCCAGTTTGAACCAGTCACGTTGCCCATTTTCTCTCTTTCAGGCTGTTGGGGCACCTGTGTTCCTATGAGCATGGCTGAACCATTACATCTCTGGGACTTTGTGACCTTGCAAAGTGGGTGAGTGTCCTGAAACTGCCCCTGCCCACCCATTTATCTTCCAGCACAACTCTGAGATCCTGTGCATTAGAATAGTTTGCTTATCAGAACAATATTCAGCCCTGGGTGCACTTTGAGTTGATCATGTGAAAGATGCTGTTAAACAGTTTTAGAGGTTTTCTCATGCGTTACTGTTCCTGGAAATGCCTTTAGAGAAGGAGGATTGTGGTTGTGTGTGTCATAAGGCTTCAGAAATCTTTTGCTTTTCATCTCAGTCCACTGGCCAAATAGAAATGAGTCACTTCATTGTGAGTATCCTGTCTCCCATTGCTTCGTTTAGGTTTGCACCTACTTCTTCCTGAACAGGAAAAAAAAAAAAAAAAAAAGAAAAAAAAAAGAAGAAAAAAGAATTAATCGCACAAACATGCTACTACATGTTTGTTTGTTTGGCATACATGATACACAGATGATACAATGAGAAATTAAAACACTGTTCTCACTTTACTGTCTTTTACTACCTGAAGCACTTTGTGCTGGGACTAGCTCTTGGAAGGACTCTTCCCTTGCTTGGAAAGTGGTCAGCCCAAGGAAGGGAGAAGCTTCTAAGCACTGAGAGCATTTAAAATGCTAATTTGAACTTTCTGAAGAGTAAATTCACTTTGGGAACACAAAGGAAGTATAGTAATTGGCATCAGAAAAAAATCTAATAAAAGACAGTATCCATAGAAGGACTCTCTTAAGTCTTGTGTCCTTTCCTTAGGTATTCAACAATTTAGAATAAGAGAATAATATTATTTGAGTATGTTTCTGTATTGTTTTCCAAAGGAAAATTAGAACTGCAACAGGACCTTTTCATTTCTTTTGGGCAGGGTGTTAAGATGAAAAGCAAAAGTAAGATTCCAGGAGCTTAATGC